GGGGCTGAGAGATTTCGTCCGACTTAAGCCAAATCCGACTTATCGAGTGTCCGACTTATCGAGTTTCACTGTGTATTAAATTATTATAATTATTGGAATTCGAAGATTATGCGACAACATCAATGATAATCTCACACTCTCTCGAAATGATCACTGCCCAATTATTATTATCGTCTTTGGATGAAACACTGACACTTTATAAGTTCTGCAGAGCAGAATCAAAAGATAATAATATATTTTATTCGTATATATATGTTCTGGGATTTGGTCCATTTCGGGATTGTCACTATTGCTTCCAAATGTATCGTGTTAATGTCATCCAAATGTAATTTATTGGTGTTGTAATGTGATAATCCCGAAACGGGGAACGGCCATAACTTTCTCTCGTGTCCTATTCTATTGTCCCTCATGATTTTGCATTCATCTTATTTGCATAAAGTTCTAGTACCGATGCATAGTCGTAGCCCACACTTTTTTAATGAACTTACCCTCCTAACAATAGTGAGTTGGTGTTTTTTCAACTTTCATTTTTTGCGGACCTTTGCCTTAATAGATTTATAAATACAGGATTAATGTTATTAAATTTAAGTGTGAATTCTTATTACTACGTAAACATACCAGCGAATTTTACTATCATCCACGGAATCGCAAACTATTTGAAGCAAAGTATACAGCTACTCCACACAGTCCATGAATTTTCAACCATAACATCGTATTTAAATATCCCGTCACTAATACTAATAGCAAGATGTTATTAACATTACGTTGTCCATATATGCAAAACGCAGACTAAGCTGAGCAGGCCCGTACAACCCATCTACAAGCTTTGTAATGCACAGCGCGAGCCCAACAGCATATTCATACGTGGCGGCGTTACGATATTGATGTGCTGTAGTTTTCAAGACCCTGCAATAAAATCGCTTACAACTCGTTTCGGCTGTAAGCAATAGAGTAATATTTGATTGACATTTGGTGGTCCATTTTAACATAGTTTTCGAAAAAAATTCTTCGCGACTGTAGCAACCGTTATGTCAATGGTTATTTTAGTTTTCCATCTCTGCATTCGTTTTATGTTACTATGAACATTTGGTATCTCTCAATTAAAACTATAATTGTGTTCATCACAGTCATACTGGTTGGCAAATCGTTTATTTAGTCCCGAACGATTTAAGTGAGAAAAAGAACATTATTTACCTCCAAGAAAATTACTCGGTTAAAGCAAAATGCCCACTTTGTCAAAAAAAAATTTTTTTTATTATTATACCATTCATTGCTAGATGATTTCTGACATTTCCGCAGCCAATTCCTAAGACATTCTGACAAAGAAGCCTATTGCGTCTCAATAATAAAAAGTTCTTTTATGTGTACGTGTTTTCTTTTAAAACAGTTATTTGTTGCTTTCAATTTGGCCATTAAATACATATCGTATTCAGATTTTGAAAGAGCTTGAAACGCTTCACGTAACTCGGCAAATTTTTCTCTCGGAATCATTTCGAGCAATCGCATTTGCCAAGAAACGCATTGCTCTTTAACATTCGATGGAAAATTTATAATTATGAACTTCCGTATACAGGTAATCCTATATATAGTTTTATCAAGGGTTACTTTCATGCTCTTATTATTTTGCATACAACTAAGAATTTTCAATAACTCAAGTCTGTACTAAATGAACTTTATTGATGTTGTTGCACTGCCAACAGCTATCGTTCCATTCTTATTGCGTTTTCTTAGCCCTTTACGCTTTTTGCTTAGCACAACAGGGAGATTAGTAGATGTAGTAATCATTGATATGATATTATCAATATTACCGACAATGGAACTAACGTGTCGCATTTAACTACGCGCTTTTGCGGTGTCAAAATGCGAATAGTAATAACCCATTTAAAGGTTTTAGTAGAAATTCCAAAGCCATAGCCTTCGCCGATCTTGAAAAACATAACGTCCATGCTTATGAACCCATACAATTGCACCTTATCAAATCAAGGATCTCATTATACCGAGAACTTGTCATGTTGAAAAGAACTAGTAAATTGTTAAAGCTCGACAACCTTTCCAAAGCGGTTCATCATTTTTTCCCCGTAAACCCTTAATCATATAATGTTAATGCAGTCTAAATATCTCTCAGAATGCTCTTTAACGGTTTCCATACAAGAGTGGAAGATCATCGATATACTTATTATTATCAAAATAAAATGTTTCCGCTTAGACGAACTATTCCTGAGTCAAAGTATCTCAGACATAGCAGATAACACGGAAAATCATTCTTCTTCTCACAAGCGATGAGCTCTGAAACATAACATCAAGTTTCGTCTCTTGCCAAAGAGAAGTATTTTTAAGTTAGAAAAATCTTATCGATAATTGATAACAAATCAGTCGAAATAATGGGATTGGCCGTTACACAAGTGATCGCATCAATATATTAATATAGGTATTTTCTCAATTTTAAACATTTCGATACAACTCTCAATGGCCGACAGCGAGACAACTCCTTTAGCACAAAATACGACTTCCACGCCTTTGGCCGATGCGGAAAAGGTTAGTTGTTATCTCAGCTCTGGCGTTCATGTGTATCTTCTTAATGTCGCCGCAGTTTACCGCTGACTAATATCCATTACCAAAAGATACGCATGAAACGTCTAGCAAAACTAGGCCAGAATGTGTCGTCTTCAAATGCATCACAAAATGCCGCAACATCGTCATCGTCGTCGTCTTCCTCGTCGTCAAAGACGCCAGTAAGTCAGGGCTCTACAAGTCGAGTAGCTTCTGTCGGAACTACTTCACACAACTCCGCAAGCGCAGGGTCGAGTAACAGCAGGAAAGCATTGCGGGTTGAAGAGGCTAATGTTCAGGTATGACGTTGGAACATTGACATCTTAAGAAGCGAAAAAGATCATCATATGTCAAAAAGAATGATGCGATCAGAATGAATGAGAATGAGAAGAGTATGTGGTAGTGTTTGGGTATGATTACAACGTCATGTTCTAGACTAATGTCTGCCCAAAGCATTGCCGCCAATGATATTGAGTATAAGTGATGTTGAACGGTTTTTCAGTACGTATTTCACGGCAAGTGATTCGATCCTCAAATCGTTTCTACCAAAAACCAAAAGCAGAAAAGGTCACCACCGCCAAAATCTCAAGTTCCTGTTAAGTCATTTGAGGATTGGCAGAATGACACAATCTCAAAGGTCTTGCGCATTACTCTTGATGTAAGTCTCGTGACATATATTTCTAAAGAGAGGTGGGGGAGTTAATTCATTAGCTATTGCATAAACGCTGTAAACTATTTAAGTAACAATAAAGTGCTATGTTTTCTTTTCTGGCCTTCTTTCATTATTTGAATTTACCCTTCCCATATGGGATTATCGATTTCGTCAACTCTCAAGAAATCAGCGGCAGAAAAGAGTAGCCATGTTTTGATCTACCTAAATACTCTCGTCGACGAATTAAAAGAAGAATATCCTGGTATGGCACTGTCGACGCGTGTTTGGGCGTCCGAAATTTCAATATTGTATCAATTCTTTCAACAGTGTCCCTGACTACGCTTTGATACTGTCACAACAGAGAACGCGTCTGGAAAATTCAAACTTTCCCAATCTCTACTGGATCGCGCACTTTTTGCACGATTGTCGTTAGATCCAAATGGAATGAGTGACAATGATGATACGACTATTGCTATTGCAAGTTTACCGGACGTGCCGCTATTCGATTACTTGGTGGATTGTTGGAAAAGTGTGGCTGACGTTAAGAAGAATGTACTAGCACGTGAGAAGGTATTGTTAGTTTATTGGCGGTTTAGGGTGTATAGCGATTATACACCACGTTACGATGAACAAGTAACACTGCTGACATTATTTTCCATAATCATCCAAGTAGATATTGGACCCAGCTGTTTTGAATCAAAGAATTGAAGTGTTGGATAAAGTAAAAGGACTTGTTGTCTCGTACGCCGGGTTGATATTACAATCACCAGAAATGTTTCCGCAAGTTAAAACGTGAGTTGTGTTCTTAGTCATTTATTATGATCCGATGGTTGCGCTTGTTCCATTCTTACGAATATCATCTAACTTCGTTGAACAGTTCTGTTCCTTTGGGCTCTCAGCAATTGTTACCAAAACTCCTGGCAGAGACTGATACAGAGGAGGGACTACCGTTGGAATTTATTAAGGATTTGGCTATTAGGTTTGAGAATGATGAATTTGAAGAGGCAAGTAGTGATTTGACGAAACAGGAATATGAAGACATTACCGGAATAGGTTGATGCAATGTTTAATATATTATTAGGTATTTGGGGTAACTATTCGCGGGATATCTGCTCAGATACGCAATGTGAACGTATTAAGTGACTTTCGACCCCCCTTGCGCGTATGTATTATCAAATTATTAATAGTTGGACTGATGATATTAAAGTTATAATTAAGACATACTTCTGAATATAGGCATTCACGACGCTTACTGAAATTAAGCAAATTGCAGCAATGGTAAGTATTAGAGCATTCCAATACCATTGTTTATTTCCTGCACAATCATATATTGAATTGTTATTAGCTGCCAACACTTTCAAGTTGGAATCCAGATCATATGACAGCGCGAACGTTCGAACTTGCTACGTTGGTTGGTCCATTCTGCAGACTGTCTACTTTTCCCGAGGAGGTATATTGAATGAAAGATCTTTGTTAACGGGCGGTTCAAAATAATAACGAACGTGTATTTTTACATTAGGTAAGGGTAACAGAAGCCTACTTTACGAACCCTCAGAAACGATCACAAGCAGATATCGATTCGGCGATTAATAGCTTGAGGGGAACGATACAAGGAATCCAGGTAGTTTTTGTTAGAATTGCTTTTGGCGGAGACATTCGCATTAACTGATCTCTTGTGATTTACCTTGTAGAAAACTCTTTACCGTATATTTCGCAATATCGTTCATGCATCCCCGGCTGCGCGTGGAGAAGTTCTAAATTACTTTGCAACTGCAATTCGTTTAAATGAAAAAAGGGCACAAATGGCGGTACGTCGTCAAATGTACCTTAATAGTGTGACATATCGTTTAAGAATTAATATTTATCGTCGTGTCCTATTCCAGGTGGATCCTTCGACTGTGGGAACGGACGGCTTTTTGACAAATTTAGTTACAATACTACTTAAGCTCTCTGAACCTTTCATGGACGCAGAATATTCAAAGGTAATCGTTATGAAGTTGGTATAGGGGATACTGGGCGTTTTAGTAACAAATATACTTTTTAAATTCAGATTGACAGAATCGACCCGGAATACTTCCGTAAGTCTAACAGAATAAATATAAGCCAAGAAACGAAGATAAAGGCAACCCAGCAGGAAGCAGAGGCTTACTATAAACACCCCCCCACAGACGCCCAAGGTGAATTAATGTCTGCATTCTAAGTAAATTGTTTGTATTACGTCTTACTCCTTAACTAATTAGCTTCTGTTTGCTCAGCACCTAATTTTATTTCCGAGATATTTTTTTTGAACATTGCTATGCATCATTACGGACTATTACGTACATTTGCAAATTATAACAATTTCATAAAGGATCTTAGTGATATTCAAAAGCAGATTGAAAGATTGAAGGAAGGGCGACCTCAATGGTCTGGGGTATGTAGCTTAGCAATGTTATTTGCTACGTCACATGTCTGCTTGTCTGTTATTGATTATAATAAATGCCAGACACCACTTGCAATGGTTAACGAAAATTTGTTAAAACTCCGTGAGGTGAGATTTGGTTTATAGAGTATTATCTCTCAAGTCATGACGTTTTGCTTTCTAGCAATTTATATTGTCACTATTCCTATTACTGACCTTCTGTTGAATTTGTTTTTTTCTTTACACAGACAGAATTTGAAAAAATGCTTTCGCAGAAACTTGCCTTTGATTGTCAATTGATGGATCCATCTCTACTCACTCATTCGCTACGATTTTATAATCTGGTTATGACATGGATACTCAGGATGGTTGACCCCGAACGAAAGTATCCAAAGGAGCAAATACGGTAAAATTTATAAACAATCCAAGTCAACTCTGTTCACTTATCTTATTTCTTTCATATTCTTATCAAGTGATTTTATTCAAGGCTACCTCTACCAGAAAATCCACCTGAAGCATTTGTCATGTTGCCGGAATACTTTATTGAAGACATCACCGAATACTTTTTATTTATTGCAAAGTCAGTAAAAAAATTCGGTTTCTTGTTAACTTATTGATCGTATGATGGCTTCACTAACAATTACTATGTTCACACAGATATGCTCCTCACATCATAGTACAAAACTCGTCTAGAGAATTAATAGACTTTATTATTGTATTCTTAAAGTCATCATCCTACGTAAAAAATCCATACTTGAAGGCAAGATTAGTAGAGGTAACAAATGATTAATAATGACATGATTATTATCTATTTTTTCGACGCGTGTTTCTAATACTTTGATCTCTAGATTCTTTTTTATTTCACATTACCTTTCAGAGGATATCCTAATGGCGGTTTAGGCAATCAGCTCAATCAATATCAAATGTCTTTGGAATATTTGATGACCGCCTTAATGTCATTCTATGTTGGTGGGTTGCGGAAATTGGTACGCAAGTTTTCGACTTAAGTTATGACTAATTCTAAATGACTTCTTAATCATTACAGAGGTAGAACAGACTGGCGCCCATACACAGTTCTACGATAAGTTCAATATCAGATACAACATATCACAAGTATTCAAGTGCATTCGCGTTCATCATACACACAGGGATAAGCTTAAAGAAGAGTCTCGGTAAGCTTATTTGAGTTCTAATTACAAATTATTCTATAATATAAAATAATTTTTCTAATCTCCGCCGGAAAATTTTTCTTTTGCCTGATGATGAATATAAATATATAATGGAAAATATGTTTGTAGGAATAATATGGATTCATTCGTTCGATTTGCAAATCTTCTTATGAATGATGCAACATTTCTGTTGGACGAAAGCTTGACAAAACTTGCAGAAATTTACAACATTCAAACAGAAATGGACAAAGAAGAATGGAAATCAAAACCACAGGTATTGTTTACAACGGTTGTTGGCGTATCGTACCAAACTCAACCCCAAAACCTGATTTAATATTCACCTTTCATTTACAATCTAGCAATACCGACAAGAGCGCGAATCCCTTTTACAATCCTTAGAACGCCAAGTGACTTCGTACTTAACCCTTGGTGATGAAACTGTCGGCATGCTGCAATACATGTCGGCTGAAGTAGCCGAGCCCTTCTTAACACCTCAGATTGTCGACCGTCTAGCTGCTATGTTGGACTACAATCTGGTTACCTTGGTGGGGCCAAAGTGTACCGAATTGAGAGTAAAAGAACCGGAGAAGTATCGCTTCTCTCGAGATGGATTATTGAAGCAGATAATAGATATATTTTTGAATTTATGTAATCACAAGGAATTTATTCAAGCGGTATCACGTGATGGAAGAAGTTATTCGAGAGAAATATTTCTTGAAGCAAATAACAGAATGAGAGATTTAAAGACTCAATCAGAGACAAATATCAGAAAGTTTTCTATATTTGTGAATAAGGTTGAAGAAGCATTTAAGAGAGATGCAGAGGGAGAAGAGGAATTGGGTGAAATTCCTGAAGAATTCTTGGGTAACATTTATATTGAAGTTTGAAGTATACATTGTGAAGTGATCTCGCGTAATAATGTTTTCTCTATTCTGCATTAGATCCTGTTATGTACGACATAATGGAAGATCCGGTAATTTTACCGACTTCCAGAACGATCGTTGATCGCAGCACAATCGCTACGCATCTTCTTAGTGATTCTAAGGATCCATTTAACCGCAAGCCTCTAAAAATCGAAGATGTTATACCGGGTACGTAAATCGTCTACCTTTATAATAATTATTATAATCATCCAAAACTAACGCATTTTTATTGCAGCTACTGAGCTTAAAGAGCGCATCGAAGCTTTCAAAGCAGAAAAGAGAAAGAAATCGTCGGATCCACCAGTGACTCCATATAGAATTTAGCAAATTTCGGCTGTTATGGCTATAATTTGCCTAAGTTAAAGTAATTACTAGGTCCACAATTGTATGAACAAATAAAGTTATTTGTAGAAACCATGAAATGCAGGCGTTAGTTGTGCTAATACTGACCACACAAATTCAGCTCCCGGACTCTTAACCATTTTGCAGTTATTGGTGGCAAATTAAGGAACAGGAAGCATAGAAGCTTTTCAGTTTACTTATATCTTCATAATGGGAACATTGTAATCAACGAAATAACATCAGCAGCAATATCATAATGGTGCAGATCATCTAAAGCCCGAAATAAATTATCCAACTTTCAAAACTCTAAGACTTTTCTTACTATTACGGATTAGTTTTTCTCCACATTGTCTAATAGAATAATAGAACAGATGATGCAGAACAAAAGTTATGGTTTAGATTTTTTAGTCAACTAAAAAAGGCTTGAGTTTTACGGCTTTGAAAAGCGACAGTTTTTCACTATGCCTCGATCACCTAAAAAAGAAAAGCCACACACGAAAAAGTGTCTCGAGATAGGAGAGGCAGATTTATTAGAGGTGAACTTGATTTTATCAATACAGAAGCAGGCACATTGGAAATAGCGGAGACAGATTGGGTGACGATTTATTAAAAAGCGAGGTAAGTGATTGGGGAAGTGATGTGATTACAAGACATCTGTAACAGAAATTCAACTGCACGTTATATACTGTACATAAGCATATACTGTTCAATCTGCAACATTAATATTAAAGTCTAATGCATCTGGACAAGTAATTTTTCAGAATAAAATATTAATTAGATCGCACAAATCCTTATTGTGATTTCAGAGCATTTTATTGGGTGAATGTCATATGATTGTTAATAAAAAATTTTCCGGGACTGTTCGGACTGTTCGGTCTTTAGATGATTCGCATCACCATAGTACGATTAGAACGCAAACAACAGAACGCAAACAACCACCATAGTAGGATTTGCGGTATTGGTGTTAATGCTGCCATGATTCGAATCAAAACAGTACGATGTTCTCGGCCTCCACTCGCACAGGCAATGGATAGATTTGGAAATCCATGCCCAACAATGATAATTGAAGTCGGTCACAGAGTCTTCCTGACCTACATCTTATGCAAAAATAAGCACATCGCAATCAAAGATATACACCGCACAAATACCATTGGTTTCTTCTTAAACGAATCTGATGTAGATACCCTTATCGGGCAACCAAGAGGACAATACCAAGTCTCCAACAACAAATCTCACAAATACACAAATTACCACAAGCAATCCTTCTCACTGACCAAAAAACACTGTAAAATGACTCAAACTGCAATTGACATTTTTAGCCTCGGCTTACAGCTCAGAGTTAAATATCTCTTTCTATTTCACCACACTTTTTACACCAAAGAAGAACATTGCTTAATATAGTTTCGAAAAGGCGGCCCGAAGGGGGTATGCTCCGGCACAATTGGAGCTTCGAAATCTCAAAAATGCAAATATTTAAAAAATACAAAGTTTGGGGTTGTTGGGGATCTGAACAATGGGGTTGAGAATATGAACGACCCTTCCGATTTATAGTACCTCGATCATTAGAGTTTGAAGGAGGAGTTCAAAGACTTAATGTTCATATTGAGGGTCTTGAAGTTCAAGTTCAGGAACTTCATTATTTATTATATTTTATCATTTTTATATTTATATTGTCAATTGTATTTTTCTATATAATCATTATAAATAAAAATTTTATTAAAAATCTTCATGATTATAAGAATTTTTTATTTGTCTTTTCTTTTAAAAGGTAACATTCCTTTCAATTTACAATTGTCTAATACTAACAATTCCAACAGAAACTTCTTTTTAAAGACATTTGCATTGAATGAGAATTGGTAGAATTTGTATCACATTGTTGTATAAGTAAAATGTTATTAATATTAATATTATCCGAACAAGCAATATGGATAACAAATACAGTAATAAAGGAAAATTCATGTTTTAATCAGTTGATGTTTTATCAACTTGTTAACGCTGAATATACGTTGTACAGAATAGGTCATATTACGCATGTTCTCTCTAACAGCGAGTTTTTTATTTTTGAACAATAGATTTTTCGTCTCGCGTTATGTTGAATGTTTACACCGGTTTTTATTATATTTGGATTTGCACTTCTATCTGACCGCAGCAAACTACACCAGTATTCAAAACACACTGGTTTATTTAGTAAAAGTTATTCGCTTTGCCAATGTCCATCGTCACATACAATATCTTCGGATGTGCGCCCCATCAAGAATTTCGATTGCGCTTGATTCAAATTTAACACGAAAGACAATGTAAACCACACAATGTATATATTCTCAAAAATGCTAACCATAAATTTATTATATGACAAATTGTTTTTAAACTGTATGACCACCACGCATGAATGATAGTTTGTGCTTTCTTCGATACACCAGGTTTCGCTAACGTCCTTTGCACATCCTACATCCTGCTCGATATACAGTGCGCGAAAAAAGTTTTGGAATAACGTTTTTATTAACTGTGCAACGAAAACTGGTCAAAAATATACAAAATTTTGCAATTATACTGCCTATGATATGATAAACAAGTTTACTTAAGACTATTTAGTAGTTTATCTTATCACAATTATTTCCTCCAATCTTCTGGGCATGCTACGAGCCAATTTAACAAAGGTCTCAGTTTCGACTCCATCCCATTCTTTCTAAATTATCTCACGAAAAGACTCCTTGGTGATTGCTTTTTTTTTTACTAACAGTTTGTTGACTTGTTTTCTACACGGTTCTTTATAAATTTTCGATTGGGTTAATATCTGGACTATTAGATGGCCAATCCATAATTTTTGGGCATTGCTGCATGAGGAGTTTCATGGTTTCCTTAGCTTTATGCTTAGTAGTATGTTTATGTATAAGTTAGGACAGTATATATTAGACTTATTTTAACCGAGTTAGCTTGCAATAGCCGCGCGATAGCGCAGGCAAGCAAGATAAGGTTAATAAAAAAGTTCGACAAATTAACTAAAATTAGGGGTAAAAAAAAACTAGATGTAAAATTTTGCTTTTATTTCAAGTAATTCGTCATAATAAGTCTAATAAAATATTTCCTCGCATTAGGTGTTAAATCGTTAAAAATCATAAATCTAATAAAAATTTTAACCGAGTTAGCTTGCAATAGCCGCGCGATAGCGCAGGTAAGCAAGATAAGATTAATAAAAATTTTGCTGAATTAGTTACAGGGACACACGTGAAGGCCGTACGGCAGATAAGTCTAATAAAAATTTTCAACGAATTAAGAGCTAATTAGTTAAAAATTATAGGTTTACCGAAGAATTACCATTTGCAAGACGGCTTAAGGCGCAACCTGTGGTAGTGCTGGGACACATAATACCTGATTAATAATTTCCAATATGTCAAATAATTAATTGAACAAAATATTTATAATCAAAATATAACAAACTTATTAGATATTACCATGGTTAGAAAAGATAAGAAAAATCGTACTTGTGACGTGAATGCTCATCTCCTCAAATGCTCGTGCACACCTTAATCGAAAAAATCCATGCCGTTCTCAGCGGTACCGCCGAGATCCAATGCCAGCACCTGAACCAAGTCCAGAGACGGAAATTAGAGCAGACAATGAGAATAGTCTAATCCCCGAGTCAATTCCAGACCAGGTAAGTTCAAAGACGAATGCAACGGTATTCCGATGTGGAAGGGTATCTTTCTCCGCCCGAAGCAATACAGTTATATCCTTGCAAATAAAAAGTCGGATAGGCGGCTAAGGGAGTGCAAAAAGTAGTAGTAAAGAAAAATCTTACGCATGACATGTACGATTCATGTTTACAATTACAAAAAGAGCATATGGTAACAATGCATCGATTAGGAAGTAAAGATCATGTTATCAGATTATTGCGATCCTCAAAAATCGGTCTCAGTCCACTAGATACAAAAAGATGGATCCTTTCCGATGGCATTACGACATTAGCTTTTGGAGATTGGCGTATTAGAGCATACAAAAATCTAATTAAATCTGGTATGACACATGAAGATGCCGAAAAAAGAATTACTCACAAAGTGTGGACGCTTTGAGCATGGATAGCTCACGTAGACATATAATTACTTACTATACACAAATATATTTTTAAATGCGAAAATATGTGCTTCAGAGAAAAATAATCTTATCGCCCGAACAAAAAGTACTTCAAGCTCGAAGGGAGTATAATAGAGGTGTAGCGACATGATATGTATGGCCTCCACAGCGGTACCGCAAAAATTCAAAATCCGAAATTAGAGAAGCGGAGCTTGAGCCTCTGGCTCCCATACATCCGTTATACGCTGATCACTGAAAATTAATTCGCAATACTATTGAGATAAACGACATACTTCTTCATAATTAAAGATCGCTTTGGTTTCACCTGTGTAGCTGATTATTAACCCCTGTCGATAATAAGATTATATTTGTCCCTATTACAAAACTGAAAATATTGCTTCGGATTTACAGTAAATTTCCCCTGGGCACAACGTTGATTGTTTTTCGATTTGTTCTTACCGTTACGACCCATTCGGTTATAAATGGAAAACCTAAATCAATTTAATTTTTTTGTGGTTGTTACGCAAATAATCTCTGAGTAGATAAATTTTACAGGGGCAAAGATCGCCTATTACTATGTAAATATATTTCAGAGTGGTACCACAAGCACAGTATTAATAACACAATGTGATCGCCCGATAACTTATTAGTTCAAGACGTATGGGACCAATGCCACGGATGGGATGGTTATAACGTAGATCCATAAATATAAAGTCGCAGTTATTATTTGTTATAGCTGTATGAACTTGTTATACTGGTATATGCATTACTCGATTAGAACGAAATCTAAAGAACCAATGCCACAGTTCGCTAACGACAAGTTTGATGTATAAAAATAGGCGAAGTTGCTGGAGATTTGGATAAGAAGTGAAGCCGGCGTGGCCAAAACGTTTACTTTATAAATCAATATGATTAACCAATTTATCAACTGCAAAATCAATAACCACAAGATGCAACTCAATATTTTCGATATATTTTTATTTGCGATTTTTGTGGTCTATGTGTTTGCTTATTAAAGCGTACCGAAACTTGAAAGAGATGTTTCAATATTAAAAAATAAAACCATCAAATGCATACTGAAGCGGAATGGAGAAGTGAAGCCCAAAGTAAAGGTATTTCGTGAGAATGACACGCTGTGTTAGGACATGTATAGTATATTATTGTATTTGTTTCAGGGTTAAACTCATCGCTTTGTAAAACTAACTAGGACAAGCATCTGTACAAAGTTACAAATCCGAATACTATACTAATACCGAAACTGAAACCCTCTAGATTGAATTTGCTACCTTGGAAAAAGAGAAACGTTCTCCTGCACAAATGTACAATGTCTTAATAGGTCTCAGTCCAATAACGCTTGCAAGTTTCTATCGGCATCAAAAATGGCCGCAAAGAATATTAGACAAAATCGAAGCGAAAGAAAATCGAAAAAATTCTAGTAGCAGTAGCAGAAATCTATTTTTGAGTAGCGCTGACAGAGATAATTCGCGTTGGCAATAGTTTCAAAAACAACGATAACAATAATGATTATATTAATTAATATTCGCGAGCCCAAAGAATAGGAGTAGTTGTTGTCTTTCGCCGTACGGCAGAGACAGGCTTTGGGTCTGACTACTTCTAGTACTCCCATGCAAGCTCGCGGTTATTTAAATCAGATATTGTCGTTGACAAATAGACATTGTTTGCAATAAATTACAGTGAACTCTCCCTAAATGCACACCCTTGGGACCGAAAGTGTGAAAGTGTGCATTTAGGGAATAATGCAAAAAT